ATGTTTCCATTGTGTTGCTACTTGTTTCCATTGTGTTGAGCTAATTTTGTTGTGTTGCTACTTGTTTCCATTGTGTTGCGACTTGTTTCTGTTGTATTGCGACTTGTTTCCATTGTGTTGTGCTAATTTTGTAGTGTTGCGGCTTGTTTTCGTTGTGTTGTGGAGATTACGTTGTGTTGTGCACTACTGGGCCACTGTAAATAAAGGTTTATGGTCTCTACAATAGTTGGAGCTGAACACTTCAAACTAAAGTACCTTGGCAACTTCAGGAGAAAGAATGTTCTCAAAAGCCTCCAGAGCAAGCAGGTGGGCCCGGGCATGAGCCTCTAATTCAGAGGCACCCGAGTTTCCAAAAGCTTCTCTCAGAAGCGGCAGCTGTACTAAAATGATATGTGATATTGTTATGTAATTTCAATTACGCCGCAGGGAGAAGGATCAATCCGACAGCCGCTCATTTCCCTGAGCGAACAAAGATGAGACAGGGACGCTCCAGAACATCCTTTAAATTACACAGCGATTCAGATGGTGTTCTCTGCACTTGCTGGTTTTGTGAGCGCTACACGTTTTAGTGGTTATTTCTATTTCCTGAAGCAGCTGTGCGTGCATATGGCGTCTGAAGTGTTTCCATTCGCGTGTCAGCGATTCTTGGAATCGCAGAACGACTGAACTACAGTTTAAGCAGGAAAGTCAATCAAATGTATTCATGATGGATATATGAGTTACTTAACTAGTGTGCACTTGCTGCTAAAGAAATGCCAGATTATGTAGGCACTTTTAAAAGCTAGTTCAAATAACTCCTTGATCTGATAATTCAACTTGATGCATGTCACAGAACATTCATTGAGAATGACTCTCACACTGAATGAACACAGTCACGCAGTGTCACTCTTAAAAATGACACAACTCATTTAAAATGGCTTTGAAATGAGTCATATATTTTGAAAACCTGCAGTAACCTACAGGAGGGGCAATTCGTGGTTTATTATTCGTGACACCAAAGGCTGCTTTCTGTGGAATAATTATTGAATTATTTATTTCTCAAAAACTATCCGTGGCCAGGATTCAAGGACAAGAACAATGATGACAAATTATTTTTTTAATAATTAGCTGTGCTTCCCCAGACATCAGTATCATATAAAAGAAATTTACTGCCAAATTGCTAGAGCGTTTTGACTGGTTTTCATGACATTGCTATGCAGTTGCTAAGGCGGTTCTAAGCAAATTACTTTTTTAATTAAAAGAGCCCACTGTTAATGTTCCAAAAATGCTTGGATACAATAGTAGCAGTGATGTATGCACCTGTCATTGAATGAGAAGAAATCAGAAAAAAAAAATACTGGTTTTGTGTTCAGACAATGACACGTTTCCCTGTGGAGGATTTAGACCACAGCTCACAGCTGGGTCTTGGCCTCCAGACCTGCTGCGAGCCAACATGACTGATCATGAACCCTCATTACAGACGCAGCGAAGAATCTGTGGGAAGATTGTTACAAGCCTGAAGGAGATTTAAAGATGGTAAATTCTTACATTTTGTTTTCTTGGTGGAAAGAAAAAAGATATTAGTGCATAAATGGAGGAAAATACAGACGTTTAAGACTAAACCAACAACAGAAAGTGCTTTCGATGTCCTTTATGTGTGGGAAGAATTGCTTACCACTCTATTATTACCAGTCTAATTGTGTGCAATTGTCTGCCTCTAAATGACACTGGGCACACAGAGAGAAACAGAGAGAGCGAGAGGGAAAAACTGGAAAATATAAACAGAGAGGTTAAAGAGTCAGCAGTTTATCAGAGAGATACAGTTAAAACACCGAAATATCACTTTTTAGAAGCACAGAAAAACTAAACGCAAGAAAGCAAAATGTGTACGAAAGTTAATATGCGAAGCAGTCAAGACACGACAAGCTCTTCTGAGTATGAAAATAATGAATAAGGGATGTGGGTTGTGAAAACTCTGACACTCTAATTGGGGTTCCTGTTGGTAAAGATCTGACCGGTTTAAACGCCTCGTTACCCTTAGGGTATAATTAGCTTAGCGTCCTCAGTCCACAGTCATTCAATTAAGAGTCTGTTCTGTCGTGCATGCTAAAACAGATGTAGCTGCGTTACTGTCTTCATTCTGAGCACTTCTGATGAAAGGTGATCTAAGTGGCTGAGCATATCAGTGCAAACATGCTTAATACCGCTCAGGAACAAACCTGCAACTGTACAACTGATGTCATAGATACAATATCACAGGCTGATGTATAAAATTTGTTCTACATTTCACTTGTATCTCTTGCAGTTAAAAACAATTACTTGTTTGTGAATAACCAGCAATTGCTTGTAGACTCTAAAAGAGCGTTAACACATACAGCGGTTTCCGACATCAAAGTCAATGGTGGCAGTAGAAAGTGGAAGTGTCCAGGGATGCAACAAAGTTTAACTTTATGCAAATTAGTATTTATGTGATGTGGCAGCTACCAATAGGAGGGAAGATGCTGGTGAACACGTGATCTGCCTACTGTGAATTAACTTTTCTATATTTGTCTTTTTTTCTATCAGTCGCTGTCCACATGCAAGGATATAAAATATTATGACTTTACAATGATGTTCAATTTGTTAAAAACAATTCTATCTATCAATCTATCTATCTGAATTTTTTTACTAAATAATTCATGACACATTCATGTTGAAATGTTAAATGTGTATATTAAAAATACTGAAATTAAATGAAAATTATTCCGTCAATTCATGACACATAATCAATAAGTTTATGTTAACAAACTGAACTTGTAAAGTGTTACTAAAAAAAAACATGCTTGGAAAACCAAGCCAATGGTCCATTTATATATATATATATATATATATATGTGTGTGTGTGTGTGTGTGTGTGTGTGTGTGTGTGTATGTCTATATGGAGTGTTTGGAAGTAGGGATGGCCATGATGACCAACAATATAGCCACTTGGCGACCTCCATCGCTGTGTGTGAACGTTCCATTAGAGATACAAGATTCTGGCATCTGATGTGTGTCCCTAAACTTTAAAATGGAGACAAGAGTATTTACTATTCTTTGCGACTGTTTGCTTTTCAATATATGACATAAAATGTGACAAACTAAACGGCCACCAAACGGTTAATGTCACCTTGGTCTCCCAGATTTATCAGCAGTACAAACAGCGGTAGACGGTTTGACAATATTGACATTGATTGACTTGAACCTTCTAAGCAAAACATCAAGCAGTGTTTTTCTAAGTACGCAAAATCACATTAAACAGCAATTTCGTCCTCCAAGCAGTCAGAGGGGCCGTGTTTGTTGAGCACATTGAGCAGACGCAGGGTGCTCTCGTCCTGCTGTCCCCAGCTTTCATCACTCTCATCTGTGTTTGACTCGTACTCGGATGCGATTCCCGACTCGTGGAATTTTAGCAGCTCGAGGCTACCCAGAAGCTCGTCCCGTGATGAGGGCGAGACGCCTTGGGATGGTGTGTTGGGACTCTCCTCCTGTTGGGGTGGTCCCGGAAGAAAGCGGAAACATTCAAACTTGATCAAGCACTGGTTCCTACCTATTGGACTGCCCAGCGGCAGGGATAGCTGTGTCCCATCGTTGAGTGGAGGAAGGATGGCGTTCTCTGGTCTGGGGGTGGTGGGGTCGCATAGGACTGGGGGCACGTTGGCACGGAAGGTGATTTCCAGGAGACTGTCTTGGGATCCCACTGTTAAGAGAAAGGAAGAGATTGAAAATTAATTGTGAATAATCTCATGACTTTTTATACTTAATTATACTAATCTAACAAAACTGTCTATACAAAAATATTTTCATATCAAAACACGTTTGGTTTTAAAGGGGTCATATGATGTTGCTAAAAAGAACATTATTTGGTGTATTTGGTGTAATGAAATGTGTTTATGCGGTTTAAGTTTCAAAAAACATATTATTTTCCACATACTGTACATTATTGTTTCTCCTCTATGCCCTGCCTTTCTGAAACACGTCGATTTTTACAAACTCCAAAGAGAAAGGAAAATTTTAAATCATATGACCCCTTTAAAGCATCTATTTTCTTTTTTCATCTATGGACAAAAAATTATGTAATAAAGATATTTTAATGAATGCAGAGAGGTTTTTAAATAAGTTTCTTATGCTCATCAAGGCTGCATTTATTTGATAAAAAAAAAACAGAAAAAAATATAATTTATATAATTGTATATAAATATTTAAGATTAATTATAAATATAATTGTAATTTTGTGAAATATTATTGCAATTTAAAATAACAGTTTTCTATTATAATATACTTTTAAATATAATTTATTCCTGTGAAGCAAAGCTCAATTTTCAGCATCTTTACTCCAGTCTTCAGTGTTACATGATCCTCCAGAAATCACTCTAATATGTTGATTTATAATCAGTGTTGGAAACAGTTGTGCTGCTTAATATTTTTTAGGTCCTGTGATACTTTTTTCAGGATTATTTGATAAATAAAAAGTAAAAAAAAAAAAAACCAACAACAGTGTTTATTCAAAATAGAAATTTTGTGTTACAATATGCACTACTATTTTAACATTTGTCAGTAATTTTTTCTTTCTTTTTTTTTTTTTTTTTTTAGAAATTAATACTTGTATTTAACAAGGATGTGTTAAATGCATAAAAAGTGATAGTAAAGACATACTGTTAGAAACGATTTATATTTTAAATATAAATGCTGTTATTTTTAACCATTTATTCATCAAAAAAAACAAAAATCAAAGAAAAAAGTATCACAGGTTCCAAAAATGATTAAGCAGCACAACAGTTTCAACAGTGATAATAAATCAGCATATTAGAATGATGTCTGAAGGATCATGTGACACTAAAGACTGTAGTGATGGCTGATGAAAATTCAGCGCCGCGTCACAGAAATAAATTATATTTTTAAGTATATTCAAATCGGAAACCAAGATTAGAAATTGCAATAATATTTCACAATATTACTGTTTTTTTTCTGTAATTTTGACCATATAAATAAACCCTTGATGAGCTTAGAAGACTTAAAAAGGGCATTACATATAATACTACATATTTTCAAAATCAACTAGGTGGTGGGTTGCCTAAAGAATCTCTGTATAAATAAGGTGCCTGATGTAAACACTGAAATTACGCCAGGTGAACCGAAGGCCAGCCTCTTACATTCAAAAACAGTGCAACAGAACTGAATCAAACATGGTCGACAGCAAGTTGCTGGCTGACCACTAGATAACTATTGAAAGAATCAACCATCATGATGCATTCTCAGTGTTAAAACTTTTTAATTAATTTCTATTTAATTTAATAGAAATTAAACTACTGTTAGTTTCAAACTACTGTTTCAAAGTAAAACTGGGGTTCAGTCTTTCCACTCTCTTTTCTCTGTGGATGTCATCTGCCTTCCTTCATATTATATAACGCTTCATAATGTCAGTTCTGCTCCACTTTTTTTCCCCTTTTCTTCTGCTCCAGTGGGTTAATAACAGTGCTCCTACCCCTTCAACACATCCTCACTTGCCTTCTCTGAATAGATCTGATGTGTTTCAGCAGCTTTCTTTCACTCTTGCCTTTTCACTCAGACCCTCCCATCTGTTCCACCTCTCTCCACATCACATTCAATTTCTCTTTGCCTTTTAACTTCTCTCCCATCATGGCACTCCACAAGGGTTAATTTCATGCTTATTTTAAAGCACACTTTCATATAGACCAGCAGCACCTGGAGATGTGCTGTCTTTCACATTAGCCTGCATGATAAAGAGCTCTTATCCTTGACTGTCCCAACTGTCACACTTAAGTCACCTTGTAAAAAACGGCTGTAAATGTCTGTCAAATCTATTCTCACGTCCTCTTTAAAGGTCCCATATTGTACACCTTTCTGGAGTTTTATTTGAGGTTTTGATGTCCTTAAGAATATATATTTGCGGTATAAGTACCAAAAACCATCTCAATATATTTTTACAGCTCCTTTCTCAGGAGCTCTGCTGAGAACAGGTCGATTTTGGTCTGTCTAATTAATATTCATGAGCCTCTCTTCTGATTGGCCTGTTGTTTTCTGAGTGACGCACGGCCAGGCCAACCACAGGTAACTAGGGTCAGCCGACGTCACAACGCTAGCTGGAGGCAGCAAAAGAAAGGGGAAACGGGAGGTGGCCCATTCAAACCAGCGCAGGTTCGGCTACATAAGGAGCTTAAAATATCATCTTGTTGTGATGTTGGATGACAGAATCGACGTAATACAGCCTCAAATTAGAAATTTGATCGCATATCTGCTGCCACTGCCAGACAAAAAAACGGAAGTCACAACGGTTCGTGAAAAATAGCTAGAACTTTAAGCAGGCTGTGTGAATTTTACTGTGGACTGACTGTTTTGAAACTTATATGGTAGTTAAATAGCCCCATAGACCTCAGTAACCGTGAAAAAAGCCAGGAAATTTCAGTTTTGACAATATGGGACCTTTAATAATGACACCTCATTTTACTCTGACGTGAAGGTTAGAATCTAGTACCAGCATCGTTCTCAGAATGTTTTCATAGCTAGTCCTCTTTTAAAAATAATAATAATATATATAAAAAAAATAATAACATTATTATTAGGGCTGTCAATCGATTACAATTTGTAATCTGATTAATCACATCCTTTTTCTGTGATTAATCGCGATTAATCGCACACTTCATGAAATTAAGTTTAGACCATTTATCTTGTTTCAAATGTTTATTATGTCATCATTTGCTATATCCAGCAAAGTAAACCAAAATATTGAAGGGTGATTCTCAAAAATCTTTATTTTCTGCAAGCTTTTTTCAAGATAAATTTAGATGACTTTCCAAAAAAGGACACTTAGAAACTCCAAAAGGACACCAAAGAACCAAATGATATAAGGAGCCCATATAAGCACATATGAAAGAAAAAAAATCAGAATTTTATAGTATGTGTACAGTGCAACACCAAAGAGCTTTTTTACATTTTAGAGAAGCCAAGTTGCGATACCGAACAGGACCACATGGAGATGCCAAAAAAACCCTAAACCAATCGCCTGCTGACTGCATATATCTACTACAGTACACGGATCCATTCCATATAACTAAACACAGCAACATAAACATGACAAATCAAAACATTATCGTGAATGTGTGTGGAAACAACGTGAATGTACGAAAATGTCTGTGCCTGTGCATAAATACAATGTGCGATCAGTGCGGGAAGAGCACTCACACGCATTATTATAACGGACTCACGCGTGCTTACTGTACTGTATGACTCCTGTACGCCACCGCAATCGCCTTTACCTTGACTGCAGTCTTCATCCATCAAAACTTTACTAGCGAGACTGGTTATCCAGTCGAGAAAACGTAGTTTGCGTCTCATCTGGCCATACAGCAGTGGGATGTGCTGACAATCCGTTCAGTCTGTACTTCACACAAAGCGTGTGATGTGTGAGGGCTCGCGCTCTTCAGAGACAATCACAGAATATGACAGAGCTCGTGTTTAAAAGCGAAACACACTGGAATGAATAATTCACTGAAAACACAACGCGAGTCTCTGTTCTCTCTGCAATCTCTGATGTAATCTGCCTGGTTTCCTCTATATTAGCGCTGTTTCCCAGAGTTTAGCGGCTTAAAATGATTTAATCACAAGCAGAGTAGCAAAATTGGGTTAAAGGGTTAGAATAGAAAATGTGCTTCAGTAATTTTGCGTTAATTGCGTAAAATTATTTTAACGCATTAAGGATTGTAAAATTAATCGCATGCGTTAACACGTTAACGATGACAGCCCTAATTATTATTATTATAATATGAAAAATACATTAACATTTAGCAATTTAATACTAATAATAATTACTTTTAAAACTTTTGCTCAAAGGTTTAACTGAACAATCGAAATGCAATACTATTGTACTCAATGCATGGATATACTGTACAGCCCGAGGATGTCAGTAGATTAAAAATTAATTGTGAATAATTGCATGATTCTAATAATTGCATGATTCTTAACTCCAATTCTGCTTAATCTAACAACGACTATAAATAAATATTTTCATACCAAAATGTATATTCAATCTTAATGCACTTATTTATTAATTTTTTTACAACAAATAATGCAATATAGATGTTTTAATGGATGCAGAAAAGATGCTTTACTGAAACACAGACCTCCTGTGCTTATTCTTCCATTATGAAGGGTATTAAATAGAGGCTTTTAAAGTTACTCCCTAGCACTGCTGAACACAGGAAATCATACTCACTAGAGCCATTCCCAGCCAGCTTGAGCTCCAGCTCCTGAACCTGTTTGACCAGGAGAGAAATATGCTGCAGTAGGTCCTTATTCTGCAGCAGCAGCTGGTGAACTCGAGCCTGGGCCTCAATCCTCGCCGCAGCTTCTGCAGAGAGCTGATCCTTCAGCAGATGAACCTGAGGAACAAACCAAAGTTTGCATGCTTAACTACAGCAGAATGTTCTACCAACCAACACGGAGACCTCCAGCAGTTAATATGCTGTATTATCCTAGAGTCGCCTCTACTATGGACAAAAACTCAAACTGGCTCAATGTACTTTTCAGCTCCAACTCAAAAGCATTATGCAAATTTATAGTAATACTTTTAAAAAATAAAAGAAGAAAAAGTTTTAGGTTTTCATTTGATTAAACTTTAAGGCCATTATTTCATAATTAATACCAGAATTTGCCTTTGTTCAGCTTCGGAAGAATATGTCTGAACACACTGGGATCCTGTCTGGGATTCAAGAGTTTAAGGAAATGAAAATAATCTTTTTATTGTTATTCTGAGAATTTCAAAGTCCTACTTGAATTTATTTATATATTTAAGGTTAAACATCTTTAAAAGATTTTTATCTACAGTCACCCCATTACACAATTTGGTATGCAGTTCTATTTAATATATTTTGAATGCATTTATATTGAATGTGAAAAATTGATGGCAAACTTTATAAAGTGTTACTATGAAGGTCATCTCATTTACTGTGTAGGTAGCGGCATTAATGAAAAATGATAGAGCGCTTTCATCCGAAAACTTCTTTAACACAACAACATAAAATAACTTTTTAAAAAAGATATTTTATGTTCCTGATATCAGCTGTATTTTAAAGAGTAATGATGAAATAATACGAAGAGCAACAGTGGAAGGACAAATGCCTGTTATATCTGCTAAAAAAAAATAAAAAATAAAAAATCAAATAAATACAATATAACAATAATAATAATAATTATTCAATATTTTTATATTTACTTATATAAATTATAATTAAATCAGAGCAACATTTTTTCTTCCACAAATACAATGCAAGCTTTAGCAAAAAATTATACATAAATATATTAAAAATAATAAACAAATAAGCCATTAAATATTACAGATAAATATTATCACTGAATACTTAAGAGTATTCAATTTACACAGCTTTAGTCAAGTAATAATTAACTTAATCCTAGATAAAGGAATTATCTGGAATAGTCTAACAAACCTCCATTACCATAAGTACCAGAAAAAGTCCTCCACACATTTTGTTATGAATTACTGCTTGGTTTGTCCGGCTAATGACAAATGGCCAGCTATAAAGATTTCCAAAGCGATTATGATGCACTTGAGTGTCCTTCATAAGTCCTACCATTCTACCTAGCGATAGACGGGCGAATCCATTTCCGCCAGTGGCTTATCCTGAGCACCGTCTAAGTATCTGTTTGCTCCTAAAGCCATCGTGGCTGCCCTCCAAGGGGTCCGGGGTGATTTATGACCCAGCTTAAACAGCGTGCCTGCTCGTGCTGCCTGCCCTTAAGAACAATACATTCTCCAGACAAAGCCAATGAGCCATCAAGATCAGGCCAGCAGGGAGTAGCGCAAAAGATTGAGGAAAAAAAATTACCATACTGTAAATGTAGACTGAAAGCTTAGTTCAGGTTGAGCCGCTTGCCATCAGTTCTCGAGTGCAGTGCTTGTATGTATGTGTGCGTGTATGTTTTCTGACAAAGAGTGATTGTCTTTGGGAAAAGAGCTGCCTACCATGACAAAAGATGTTGTTTTCAAAAGGATATAGGATGTAAATGTATACAAGCCTCATATTTCATGCTGTCATGGTTTTATATCTCAATCTGAGTGGGGTACATTCATCAGCAAGGCAAGTCAGGGGTAAATGTTGGAGTCCAATTGCTTTGATGATCATCATTTTCCTCGATGACATACAGAAGCAGTATTTATTTTCCTTGTCTTTAAAAAAGTAAACAACAAAAGCAGCAATGAAGAGCTGTTTAACATCAACACATTGCCACTGCAATCAGTTATTCGGTTTCATTTTCACATCTACTAATTAAGCAATTAAAAGTTCACTGTCCAATTATGGCTACAAAATGAAAAGAGAACAGTAATATCTTTGACTGTATGGCGGAAAATATTAACAATATTTTCTGGCAGTAATATTAGCATATAGCGTGATCAATATTAGTTATAGTGCTGTTGCAAAAAAAAACAGGAGTTTACAAAGTAAACAGAGCAGAGTCTTTTTCAACATCAAGGACATGAATTTCAACAACTTAACCAGGTTTAAAGTCTCTAAGGTGAAGTCCAAGTAGGCATATATGGGTATCAACTGTTCTTATCCTGATTACTCCACATGCTCTTATCATGTTTTGGTATTATCATAGTATAGTATTGCATTTCAAAACAGTTTGAAATTAACTTAATTTTTCTTTATTGACAAGTTGTAGTTACATTTTAAATCCCAAATTGGCCTTTAATTTTTACGGCCAAAAAATTGCCGTAAAAGGATAGGAAAACTGACACGTTTCAAGTCCCAGAAATACGGTGGCCGAAAAGTGCTAAACAAATCACAATTCTGAAAACAAAATAACAAATTACAAACGCAAATGCAAGTCTAAAAAACAAAATAATTCAGAAAGCACAACAACAATTCAGAAAACATTATAAGTCAGAAAACACAATGACAAATTCGAAAACAAAATAACAAGTCAGAAAACACAACGACAAATCCGAAAACAAATTAACAAGTCAGAAAACACAATGACAAATCGGACAAACCGGAAAAGGTAGGTATAGTTTGAGACAGCGCCATTGGTTTGGGATTACTCACTGCTGACTGGACGAGACATCTGTCAATCAACGTATACAGGGAAGAACCAGCCGAAGAACAGCAGAGTCGTCGTAGAAAGTTCGGAGATGGTATTAAAGTAGCTCAGTTTAAATGTATTGTATGAATTGCCCTTACTATG